CCATATAAATTACTCAAAATGGTCAATTGAATATAAATATTAATAAATGAAGCTAGACCATTTTGCCGAGTCGACTCTAAGGGACTAAATAATATAAGTAAAACTCCAAGGATAATAAAATTTTTACATGCAAAATAGATAAGGAATATAAAGATTAAACTAATGCTTAAAGGAAAATAAGGCAAAAGAAACCAACGAAAAAATAAAGGCAAATATACATGATTAAATAGCTGGAAATAAGGGGTATACAACAGCTAAAAAGTAGTGGAGCAAATAAAAAAAGAAAAGAATGGAGAACGATACCATAAAGGTCCAATGTGAAGGGTATGCTTGCCTGCTTGATCTCGAGCGTTGTTGCCTTTAAAACAAGACGATATTCATGAATTGGTGGCACTCTGCCTGTCCAAAGCGCAAATTTGCACTGATCGCCCTCTATGTGCTCTGTAATGTTGCAGTCGGCCAATAGAAGTCGCAATTTGAAAAGGTATCTGGTAAGAACATAGAAGGAAATGATGAACTAAGTGATTAATTCGTTTGCAAAATACATTTAAAGTAGATATTCTCAAATGACCAAAGTTAACGGAATTTATTAACTCGAAGATATGAAAATCAAGACGACGCGGCCTTTGTTTGGCAGTTGTTGGTTGATAATGTTGGTTGAGCTCGTTTTCGCAACTTGGCCGGGAAAATGAGATTTCATGGAATGCACCTAGTACTGTGTCCTCTGCCCCTTATCATGTCCTTTGGTGTTCATGATTTCCAACATAGGACCGTGAAAAGCGAAGGCAATAACCTTGAACAATCTTCTCTTCAATCCCTATCTTTTTGTACTTCATTTTGGTGCTATGGCTCATTCTCTTAGCACCACTTGATATGGCAAATTAGCCTATTTACACCATTCTGCTATCGTTTCCTTCCATAATTCATAATAATGCCTTCTTTCAAGTAGAGTTAGTGAAGCCTTCACCATCGATTTTAGATGTCATTTGACTTTCATGTATTATCCATTAATTTATTTTATTTTCGCAACTCGATCGTGTTGTGCTGGATTCAAATTGTCCAAAAGCCTTCCCCATAGAAAACATAATAATTACAGTGCCTGATCAGGGACTTACTACATTTACAAGAGTTTCATCGGCCTTATATGAGATACAAGGCCTGATAAGATTGGCGTTAGTGCCTCTGATGAGATGTAGATTAGTGCTAAGAGTGGCAAGACTCTATGATGATGTGCCGTAAAACGTTTGGGAATGCACAAATACCATCCACAAGAGGTATAAATTATTGTGTCTACCATATCAAGGAACTTCGGACAAGATATGTCAAACTAGATATTGGCGGCCACAAAATCGAATTAAGAAAACAAGTTCAAACCCCAGGGTACAGAATATAATTTGAATTTTTAGCGATTATTCGTATAAAAAAAACAAGGACAAAGAGAATCACTTGACATCTTTGTCTGCGAAGAACATACACAAATTTTTCGCGAGATAAGTATATTTATATAGAAGATATTCAAGTCTAGTAAGTTTTGATTCTGTCGTGAGACCTAATAGTGGCACTGCAAAAATTCCACTATCAACCCTTCATCGATTCATGCGATCTGGAGGGATAACAACTAGAATACAAGAATTGTTATGTTACAAACCAAAGAAAATGTGAAATTTTTAAAAATGAGTAAATATAGATCTATATGCCTCATTCAAAAGTGCCTAAACCGAAATTTTGTTTTCAGCCTCAGGTCCATAGCGTATTAATTAATTAGCGACTAAATTAATTGCCAAATCGGGCCTAACCAAGAGCAATACGGAGTTATATATGAAATGAGATCCATGTTGCTCAAAACCACGGCTATTACACAAAATAGGCCTAGCTTAAGAAAGTGGTTGTAGATGATGCAAATGAACAAAAATGAAATTGGCGAGTCTAGCGCAATAATAAAAATAGGTAATAGAAACGTTACCTAGCTTTGTGTTCGCCAGGCAGAGAGGCTTGCTCTTTAGCAAGAATAAGATATGCATCAAAAAGGAAAACGCGCCTATCTCGGCCCTTCTTGATAATTTGTTTCGGCTCCCAAACTGTGAATTGGTCCTGAAGCACAACTTCTCCTAAAGAGGACATTTGTATGTCATCAGGTAAGCCCTGTGTAAATATGATAAATAATTAGGTTAGTAAACATTTTATCACACGGCCAATTCGCTCAATGTCGACTATCGATAAAAAATATTTATAATAAGAAGCAAGAGGCTAGAATATCTGTCAAAAATGTCTCCATAGATGAAACGCAAATCAAGATCTACTTGTAAGCAAGACCAAGTCTTCAAAATAAAATTAAAGCAGATTAAAGCAGATGAAGTATGAGGCCTGAGGCAAGGGTAATAAACATAAAAAGCGAGTAATTACATACTTTTATTGCAAGAAGAAGTCAAATGCAGGTGTAGAGTTAAAATATAAAAAATGCATAAATGGTTGCCGTCAAGAAATAAAAAAAAAGGAATTTCCTGTGGACCTGGACAAGCCTGTTATTGAAAATTATCCAGTGGTGAGTAGAGATTGCTAAAATAATATAGGATATCATG